TCAGAGTCATTTTTCCGATACAAATCTTAGTCAACAATTTGACATGACTCCAATTATATTACTCTTTAGGCTTTCAAAGCAAAATCGAAACTGCAAGTTTTGATAGGCCGAGAAGATATATTAGCCATTGCCTTTATTACTGTACGTGACTGCGACCTAATATGGATTTGATCTTATCTTATCAAAGGCGTAATATGCATTGGTGAAAAAACCAACCTATAATTGAGTCATACACGGAGCATATATGTATCCAACACAACAATCATGACAAACAAGCTTCTACACTCTTCTTCATCTTCTTCTCCAACTCATATTTTTTACCATTTTTTTATCGGCAGCAGGTTGGCTAGAAACTCCTAACGAATGCCACATAGACAAAAGAAACAATTGTGTAAGTGATGACATTGTGAAGGAGAGGTGGACAGCTCAAAATATTCCATCCATGTCATCTTCATTTGTGTGGCTCTCCCAGCTCCAAATATTTTTGCAAAATGTCACCACCATGTCCTCACCCATTACGGTATAGTTTATGTTTCACAAGTCATATTTTTAATTTAAAAACATGCCTAATAGGTAGGAAAAAATTTATATTTATATATTTAAAATTTACTTTATCTCTTCTTGATATCGGTTTTGTGATATTCTATTTTATTCTTGCATTAACTCTTTATTTATAAAGACCCATAGAGAAAAAAAAAACTCTTATATTGTTTGAGTCTATCCTAACCTTTATATCTCTTATAAGGTCATATATCAGTAAAGATCTAAATCTGTTCTCATATCATTAACATTGATCTATATTTTTAATTTAAAAAATATATTTAATAAATGATAAAATGTCCATATTTATATATCGAAGACCTATCTCATGTCTTATAGATATAAAACCCGTAACATATGCATATTCTTTCTTATCTAAAACAAGTTATACTACACTTGCTTTAAATAATGTCAATATTCCCTCATCATCAAGCCTTTGATTTGAAGAAGATTGAGATGAGAAACTTTGATTGATTATGGTTTCAAAACTTAATAAAATTTGATATATGATATTTTAAATTTTACATGGGTTTATTATTGTTTGAAATGAATAGTCTGTCCCAAACGTGTAAACGATGTTAACGGACAAATGTTAAATATCTAAAATACTTTTTCTTTTTTCTCCACTCTTTTTCACTAGTTTTCTTTTTGTCAGGTTGGCTAGTGATGCTCCTTTACTTCGATTGGCTACCGCATAGCTAGATCTGGCCGTTGAATGCCATATCCAAGAGAATCTCCCTTAGGGAGCTAAGAGGAGCACGGCTAGATTGCGCTTCTGTGGGGAGATTCGGTCGAAGCTAAATTTACCATTCCAATTTAACTGCGAGAATGCTAAAGGTAGAGTGGAGAGAATTTTCTTTTGAATAAGGGATAAAAAGTTTTAAAAATGAAAATTATAACTTATATAGTATGATAATTTTTAAAATTAATCAATGATAATTTTGTCCGAAAAATATTATTATATCATCAAACTAATAAAACCAACAGTTGAACTTATGTGTTTAGTTAAAAATATTTTTTTGAGTCAAACTGTTCATGTGAAAGTATAATGAAAATTTTAAGAATCAAAGTATTTTATTTTATTTTATTTTATTTTATATTGTAGATCAAATTAAAATATAATTCTCAAAATGAGATAAAGAGATTACTATTTTTCAATTTTATAATATAAAATTTAATTTATTTGATTATTGTGGAGTTCATAAATCAGCTTTTAATTATTCAAAGGGGACTTTTGGTTTGAACAAAACCCAAGTCATTTGGTTTGAACAAAACCCAAGTCATTTGGTTCACTATTATATTCAAACATATAATTTATATAACAAAGAAAAACATCGACGAAATTAAGTCGAGGGAACTGACACAAGCCCTTCGTTTCTTAGCTTATATTGACAACTTAGTCGATGATTTTAACAGTGATGATTTCAACAGTTATTATGATGATTTTAACGATGACGATTATTATTCTGACGGTGATGATGTTTATGGTTTATTTAAAATTGATGACAACGATTTCTTATTTCTCATAGTGTCCAGATCAATTTTTTTCAATTCTATAAAAAAAACTTTATTTTTAATTATTAGCTCAAAAAGAAAAGTTTTTATTTTGATAATTTGATTAATTTTAGAATGTGCTATTGAATTTGAAGCTTCGGATTGAAATTCATGAAATTGGCGGAATGTAATCTTGAATTATAGAAGACAATTAAGGCTAAACAAGAAAAAAAAAGGAATTTTTAGTGAAATTTGTTGCGGAAAGGAGTGGATTTGATGGTATCACCTAATATGCATGGAAAAAATGCCTACATATAATTAAGTCATACACGAAGGATGCATACACCCAACACAACAATCATGACAAATAAGCGTCTGCACTCTTCTTCTTCTTCTCCAACACACATTTCCATCATTTTTTTATTGACAGCAGGTTGGTCAGAAACTCCCAACGAATGCCACATGGACAAAGGAAACAATCGTGTGGGTGATGGAATTGTGAAGGAGACGTAGACATCTCAAAATATTCCATCCACGTCAGCTTCATTTGCGTGGCTCTCAGAACTCGAAATGTATCTTTGCAAACCGTCACCACCAGCTGTTATGTCCTCACCCAACATGATCCTTCCTACCTATCTAAAACAACGTACACTAGACTTGCTTTGGATAATGTCTATATTCCCTATTCATCAAGTCGTTGATATGAAGAAGATTGAGATGAGAATCTTTGTTTGATAATGGTTTCCAATCTTAATGAAATATTTTAAATTTTAGATTAAATTGAAATATAATTCTTGAAATTATAAGAATGTGATAAGCGGTGATTATTTTTTAATTATATAATATATAAAATTTAATTTATTTGATTAGTGTAGAGTTAATAAACCATATCATGAGCTTTTAATTATTCAAAAAGGACTTTTGGTTTGAGCGATGATTTCATTATTATACTTATAAAAGTGAGAGAATGAATATTTTTAATTTAAGCATATATTACATAAGAGATAAAAATAGTGATAAAATCAAAATGGTGACGAGATTGATCGTTGTTATCTTTAAATTTTTAATTTTTTATTATTATATAGATAAAATTTAAAATGCATAAATCTATCACCTTATGTAGTTATCATTTTAACAACTCTTCATTTGATTACTGTTAAGTTAATAAACCATATCATGAGCTTTTAATTATTCGAGGATGACTTTTGGTTTGAGCAAAACCTAAGTCATTAGGTCTATGATTTCACTATTATACTTATAAAAGTGAGAAAATGAACATTTTCAATTTAAACATGTTTTATATAAGAGAGAAAAACAATGATAGAATTACAGTAGCGACGAGATTGATAATTATTATTTTTAAATTTTTAAATTTTTATTATTATATGTATAAAATTTGAAATCTATAGATTCGTGAATTTATATAATTACTATTTAATCACTCATGTAAAATTTTAAATCTTTCACTGAAAAAAACAATTAAATGAAATTAAATTGGTAGAGAATGTACAAAAACGGAGCTGAAAAAAAAACGAAAAAAAAAATTGGGCCTTATTTTATGCCTCTCCTTAAAGAGGAGACATATTGGTAATTGCCATCTCCTTATTTTTGGGCCAATTCTTGCCGCAAACTCCGACATCGGTACATACAATTGAACCGATGCAAATGTCTTTCTAACAGGAACCCACTGACTTAACCCATGGCTCAGGCCCAGCCAAAGTTAGGAACTTCGGGACACCACCAAGTAGTAACTATAACTATTTGATATAAGTAGAAAGGTATGATTATGACCGTTTCTATGTACATCTTAGTACTAAAATATTGTATTTTTATTTTAAATTAAACTCTCATATTGTGATACTAGCTTTAAATTAAGATGGACTTGCAAGTGAATACGTAATAGATGTTCTAGGCATCATAAAAATATAAAATTAAACATTATTTGGTGATAAATTAGCATAAACTAAAAGCCATAATTGCATGAGACTTTCCAAGGGAGGTCATGAGACATTAAGATTTAAGACAAACCAGGTGGCTCAGCACATTAGAGGAACTTCGACAAGATTAACTCAATCAATTAGATCGTTTGTTTTAACAGTGAAAAAATTTCAATTCTGAATATCAATAATTGATTATCAGTATTATTACTGTTCATAATATAAGCCATTTGATAAGATAGAAAAATTACACATTTACATTTTAATTTAAGAATTGGAGTAACTCATTTTTCTCTAATTTATTTTTATAAGGAAAAGAAGATAATAATGAATGGTAACCTTTATTATCATTTATAAGCATTGACGGCCTTAGAGTACAGTGGATTAGTGGAGGAGAATGTGAAGTGAGCAGTCTTAGCACTGGCCACTAGTTTTGGTCCGCAATGTCACAATCATACTAGGCGTGGTCTATCCCTCATAATACTATGTCATTAAAAGTTTAAACCACCTGATCACTTTGATTAGAGACAATACAATAAAGTAAGTATCCTAATTAATCATTGTTTTACCATAATCACAAATAGCTAATTGATTTTTGTTTATAAGCTTTTTGTGAAAGAGGAAAAATTCTACTTAGATATACCATCAACATCATTGACTAGCAGCTTTAGTTCATTAAACCATTTGCCTTGTATCTAATACAAACTACCAAATTAATAGTGATTATGAGATAATTAACCAAGCATTATTAAAGAAATGAAATTCCCAAAAAATTCGAGCATAAATTTTTATTAGTAATTTTAAACATACAAGTCGGGTTTAATAAGTATACTAAATTTTACCGTAATGAACGGATCCACCAACCTATTGGGGGCTTTTTCATAGGGTTAGCCGTGGTAGTTAATAGCTCCCTATAGTCAATAGCAATAGATGACACGTCATAAAAGTATGGTATTCCTTTGACACTCGCTTCCCCTGTCTTCACTTTACGTTCTCACTTCAAAAGCGTGATGCAACTACCGACTGGTCCAACACTCCCCGTCTTGCCACTAAAATCCCCCACCACTAAGTTTTGCCCCATTTCTCCTTTCTTATCATTTTCAGTTCCGAGCTCAATTGTGTTTTCCGTTCATGCACCGAACGCCGCCTGCAAATTGGGCATAGGTTTCTTGTCCCTTTGCTTACCCCAGATATAATATTGGATCCACAGCAGCTGCCTGCTTTGGAGACCATTCGTCGTTAGTGTGAGTAAGTTATTTGCAGTGTATCTACCGTTCATACTTCATTGTCTTTGTCAGTGTGAGCTTGTGTTCGCTACTTGCTCTCTTCAGTCTAAGTAAGGAACAAATTGGCCAAATTCAGGACGTATCGTGGGACCAATACTGTCCCACAAACTTTAATACAGCTGCTTTCCTACTTACTAGTGTACTTTGATTTTATTTTTATTAAAAATGAAATTAGGTTTGGGCATTATTGTTTGGAGTTTGAGTTTGATTTGAATTATGATTTTCTATACGTGTATGGTTAATGGAAAGAAGTTAAGAGTACTTTTTTAATTAGTATAAAAGTTATGTAAAATCTTATCGGATTAGGATTAGGATTAATTTAATTTCTTATAAATATGAGTCTTATGTTGCATATTGAGATATACATAAGTGGCAAACAACAATCCACAAATAATTTTGTGAATTCTGCTTTAATTTTATCTGTGTTTTCTTCCTCCGACTTCTAGTGTTTCTTTTTCTGGTTGAAGTTTGATAATTGTTATTTCAATTTCCGAAAATCAATCAACTCTCCGTGATTTCAATTAAAAAAAAAAGGTATAATGATTTTTTTTTTTTAGTTAGATTTGTGTATCTTAAATATCTAAAAGATGATTCTGTTTAAAGAAAAGATTTTAAATTTTAAACATAAATTATAACCAGAATTATTATTTGTGAATAAAATTAATTGGTTTCCTTATTTTTATATTTAAAAATAGGGTTGATTGTATTTTTTTTTTTTATAAAACTTCAGTCTTTAAAAAATATTTGAAGATAAAATTTTCTTTTTTGTAGTTTTTATTTTTCACCGTCCTTGTCTTCCGTTTCACTTTTTTCTGAACTTCCTATATATATATATATATAAAAGGTGGTTTAGCTCTTTTCCTCTGCCTGTACACCTAATTCAATGAAAACTTTCTCATCAAATTCTCTGTTCTCTCCTAAGCCTTTATATATTTTCTCTCCGGTCACACAAGTCCTTCTTCTTGTGTTTAGGTGTCGGGATGGAGTCTGAGGACGACATAATTGACGACTTGGTTTCGATGGAAGACGATTTTTACAGCGGCGATTTTAGCGATTATTACGACGACCCTAACGATGAGGATAACGATTACTACTCTGATGGTGATGATGATTATGGTTTACTTGAAGACGACGAGGATGATCAAGAGGCCGTCGTTTCTCGTCGCGACCAGGTAATTTTTTTTTCTAATTTCAGAAAAAAAAGAAAAGCTTTATTTTATTAATTAGCTCGGAAAAAAGTTTTATTTTAATAATTCGGTTAATTTTAGAGTGTGTTATTGAATTTGAAGGATAATGTAATTTTGAATTATAAAAGACAATTAAGACTAAACAATTTGTTGCAGAAAGGAGAGGCGACAACGCTTGAAAATAATAGTACAAGTATAAAGAATAGAGATAATTCAAGGAGATATTTGGAATTTTTTTATATACTTTTATTCGTTTAGATCCCCAGTAGAATGATGAAATGGAATATTATGTACCTGATCATAGACTATTTTCAGGCTCGAGGATTATTTGAATGATTTGGTAGTTACCATTATTAACGAGGTAGTGATTGGCGTAAGGGTTGGTAAATGGGGTCACAGAATCTTCCTCCATGCAATGCTGATGTTGTTCTTGATTTTTTTTTTGTCTTTGATTGATTTGTAATTCAAATAATTTGTTAAGTTAGGACCTCATTGCATCTTGGTTTTGATATAGTGATGATATAGGTTTGAGGTTTAGTTTTGGGTTTGATGAATACAAGTGATAGTGGGCAGTAATTACTTCCTTTCCACGTTCTTTCTTGTCAATAGAAGAAATTCCAGGCTTCAAATTTTCAAGTTTAAAAAATCAAAAACATAACACATTGAATTTAATACAACTATTTCCTGCTCTACTATCATTATTAACATGTTTTGGTTTCTATTGCAGCTAGGGTATACTGTTTTGAAGGAAGCAGATATAAAACAACGACAGGAGGATGACATTTCTAAAGTTTCTACTGTTCTTTCAATATCAAGAGTTGACGCAACCCTTTTGCTCCGTTATTATAATTGGTAACATGTTCATTCTCATTGTTCTGCCCTTTTGGTGGTATTGAGGTTCCTATTGTGTTACTTACATTTGTTTGCTGGTATAGTTCTCAAGTTTGTCAATTAGTTCTCTTTTACATCTATTTTATGGGCACCAACTGTTGGCATCCTTTTCTGTATCAAAATTAGCAAGCAAACCATTCTGCGTTCTAGGAAAGATGGATGTGGTTGCTTTTGCATGCTGTACTTTTCTGGTGTTAAGGCTGTTTGTATTATTATTTTCTGGAAACTTGTTTTTCTGAACATGGTTGGCATAGCAGGAGTGTCAGTAAAGTGCATGATGAATGGTTTGCTGATGAAGAAGGAGTACGGCAAACTGTTGGATTGTTGGAGACACCAGTTGTTCAAGTATCCAATGCTAGAGAAGTAAGTTCTATAGATCTGTGAATTTGTTTTTCTTTTTTTGGGTAATTTTTTCTTTTCTGATTGTTTATCTCTGTTAATTACCTACTTATCACACATATTTTTGTTTCCTGACCAGCTTACTTGTGGGATTTGTTTTGAATCTCTCCCGCGTGACAATATTACTTCAGCTGCTTGTGGTCATCCTTTTTGCCGGACTTGCTGGCAAGGTATCTCTCATATGCTGTGTCTGATAGGCTAACTTTCCATCTGATCTAAGTGATGGTTGTATGCAAATGTTTTCTCCGTTATTCAAAATTAAAGTTTCTGCTGAATATTGCCTTAAAAACATACCGATTTGGCCTTGGGAATCAAGGTTTTGATTTTCATATATTCGGTAGCTAATATATACTGCTTTTAGTGTAATTTTGTTATTCAAAGTACTTCTTCTTTTTCTGCTTTTTGACATGCAAACTTTGCTTATACTTTTTGTTGCTATATTTGGTTTATTATGGTAGGCTACATTTGTACAACCATTAATGATGGTCCTGGATGTTTATCACTAAGATGTCCTGTTCCATCTTGTAATGCTGCCGTTGGCCAAGATATGATTGATAAATTGGCAACTATTGAAGAAAAGAAAAAGTATTCTCGTTATCTACTTAGGTCTTATATTGAAGACAACAGGAAGGTATGTTTTGCATTTGAAACCCTGAGATATACCATTATAACTTTATGATACAATTGATTCCTTTTCTCCTTCCTTAAATTAGTCATAAAAAATTTAAACCTGTGTGTTTGCTGATGACTGAACTACTGAAAGTTGGGTAGACTCTTCTTAATGCATATATGCATGCATGTGTCCCCATTTATTTAGCATTTGTGAGTGCAATACGTAATTGAGCATGAATTTCTGGTTCCCTTAGTTTTCATGGGGCATCTCTTTATGCATGTAGTTCTTACCTTTTTTTTCCTTGTTTCTTCTTTTCTTCTTGTTTGCTGCTAGACCAAATGGTGTCCTGCTCCAGGGTGTGAATTTGCTGTTGATTTTGCTGTCGGCGGTGGAAATTTTGATGTCTCCTGCATTTGCTCACGTAACTTTTGTTGGAATGTAAGTTTCTTCTGACTTCTGATAATTTGTTAAATTAGATTTCTTGGACATTATTCTCTTCCAGATGTCTAAGTTCTACCAAATCTTGGTCACAGTGTACGGAAGAAGCTCATCGTCCTGTTGACTGTAATACTGTGGCAAAATGGATTTTAAAGAATAGTGCAGAGTCAGAAAATATGAATTGGTAAAGAGACACTCTAACGAAACATTATTAACTTTTTATAACTTAGTGCTAAGTGCTAACCTTGTTTGATTTTTAATTGCAAAGCCAGTTCTACCTATCTTTATTCTATTGCATGTATTAGCCCCTTCATTCATTTAAATAGTTTGTTATCTTGTAGCTTGAATAAAATATGGTGGAAAATTTTCTATCTTTTTTACTACTTTTGTTGTATGCTATGTTCAGGATACTAGCTAATTCCAAGCCTTGTCCCAAGTGCAAGCGTCCAATTGAAAAGAACCAAGGGTGTATGCACATGACATGCACGCCACCTTGTAAATTTGAGTTTTGCTGGTAAGTTTTAAATCCTTTGTTGGTACGGGAAAACAGACACTGCTTGATATGATGAGATATATATGGCGAGTGTGTCTGCTTAGAGTTTAGAGTGGGATAGGGTCAGAGAACTAGGGATTTAAAGGCTTATGGCTATATTTGGAATAAGGGCTTGGATTCAGGAATCAATCAGGTTTGATTCAATAGTAAATCTGAAAAGAAGATTGAAATTGAGGGGAAAGTGTGCTGGAGAAATTTTAGGTAGTGTTCTGTGAATGGGAAACCAAGAGTGTTGTGACAATTAAGGAAAAGAAAGGAGGAAGAAAAAAAGAAGAATACAACAATATTTTAGGTATCCATGCCTTAATAATCTTTATTCTTGTAATTTCATTAATTAAAAAGCTTACATTAATTTCTACTCATAATTTCATTGATTAAAGCCTAATAAAACCCAAAGATTAGTAATGAATTCAAGGCTATCCCTAAAAATACTAGGACTAGGATTCATTATAGGAAACAAACTAGTAAGCTAAATAAACAAGCTTGGATTCGGAGAAAATAAGACTAAACTCCTAGATAATTTGAAATTCTCCAACAAAATTAGCCCTAGGGTGCGTTACTTGCTGAAATTATGATGCTGTCCGTGAAAATAAACTACACAAAATTCATGATAGGTAATCCAAAGTTCCTAGATTAAATTACATAAACATTGGGAAAGAATTTGAGGTCTTCAGCTGCTGTATCTCTCTTTTCATAAAGTCTGTAATCTTAATTTATGTGATTTTCAATTATATGTAAATGCAGGTTATGCCTTGGCACGTGGTCAGAACATGGTGAGAGAACTGGTGGTTTCTATGCTTGTAATCGTTATGAAGCAGCTAAGCAAGAGGGAGTGGTATGGAGATTAATAATTTCTTTTTTGTAATTCTCTTTTTAACATCTGCTTGAGTAATGGTTGGGCTTGGAACTCATATTTCATATTATTGCTTGCAGTATGATGAGGCTGAAAGAAGGCGAGAAATGGCAAAGAATTCCTTGGAGAAATACACTCATTATTATGAGCGCTGGGCGAGCAATCAATTGGTAAGCAAATGCTACTTTTAAGTCCTACCCATTTCCGTGCATTGTTATTTCCATACGTCCTTAATGAATTTTCTTCTTCTTACTTTAATATTTTTTCAGTCAACACCTATATTCTGTGATTTTATCTGCTATGTGATTTATGCTAGCAACTCACACTTTAGACGTTTCCTGTCAAACGTGAAGCTTCCTGTGCCTTTGTATCAAACAAAGGTATTTGACATGTCAAGGATTTCTAAAAATGACTTTTATATGAGCTAACAACCATATTTAATATATGTAAAAAGAAAAAGACAACAGACAATGATGAGGGGAAAGTAGGGAAGGAAAACAATCTGAATGGCCGAGGCCTTTTGAGAATTTTGTATCCCAGATACAAAAAAACAGATGTCATTATCTGGTTATTGTTTTCACAGAAAGTGGCACTTTTGAGAATTTTGCTCTGTTTTTTGGGTAAGTGACTTTGCTCATTGATGTGCCACCAAATGCTTAACTTTTGAAATTGCAATTGGAATAGAGGATCCAGTCTTCTGCTTCAAAGTGTAGTAACTACATTCTATTGGGTAGTATAGCTTTAATAGAAAATGATGAGTTGGCATTGTTTTCATAAATGCTATTTTTGGATGTTATAAGCTTCTGTGATTGGTTCCATCTTAGCTTTGTCTATTTTTCCTCTTATTGATTGAATTAATAAAATTTTGAATTTTTCTATTGATAATAAATTTGCATAACCTGAAAGTTCCTATTTGCAGTCAAGGCAGAAGGCTCTTGCAGATTTAAATCAGATGCAAACTGTGCAGGTGAGCTTTTACCTCCTCTCTTTTTATTTTGAAATGTGCTTCTAGCTATTCCTATTTGTTAGTATTATTTTTGCTTGGTTTTACATCTTCATTGTTTTGCCTTAATTAGCTGATTCACTTGTCATTTATATTTGGCTTTTGGGTTTTCTTCTTCAAGTGAACATAAAAACCTTATTCTTAACAAAGGCAGCTCTTTTAAATGATATTTGGGAGTTTATGAGACTTTACTACCTTTTTCTTAGGTTTAGCTTATTTTTTCAAATTTTCGTTCACAACAGTTTTTGGAAGGAATGTGTGTTATAGTAAACTCTTAGAGTTTGCCAAATGATAATGCCCTTGGGAATTATTAGAAGCATCTTTTCAGCATGGTTGGTTGTGTTTGGAAGTTCTGCAGTGGGTGCAATTTCTATTGGAAAGCAGCTTTGAGATCGTTACTTGTTGTCATTCAAATTGATAGTGACCTCATAGCTATATTAGAACTCTATGAAGGATACCACCTTTTCTTCTTCTTTCTTATAACCCTTTTTAATTTTTAATTTCTAAGCAAATTTCTTGAATTTTGTCAGCTCGAGAAGCTTAGTGACTTACAATGCACACCTGAGTCTCAGCTTAAGTTTATAACAGAGGCATGGCTTCAGGTAAATCAGTCATATTCACACCACATGTTTATTGCTTTTTCAGAAAAATTTGAAATTCATGTTTTTGTGATACTTCAAATGTTGCAGATAGTTGAATGTAGACGAGTTCTCAAATGGACTTATGCGTATGGGTATTACCTTCCTGAGCACGAGCATGCTAAGAGACAGTTTTTTGAGTACTTGCAAGGTACAAGCGTATTTTCAGAAATGCTTGGAGGGACTAAGATGTATTACAAATTTATTTTTCTTTATGGACAATTAATAATGTGACCAAGTTTGCATTTTGTTTAGGGGAGGCGGAGTCTGGTTTGGAAAGGCTTCATCAGTGTGCTGAGAAGGAATTGAATAAATTCATTCTTTGTGATGGCCCATCAAAGGAGTTTGATGAGTTTCGTGCAAAGTTAGCTGGGCTGACTAGGTATGTCATATATCTACTTTTAAATGAATGACTTTGTGTTTATGTTCAACAAAATTATTCTGGAATCTGGCTTTCTTTTTCTCGTCTTGAAGCTGTGTTGACATGCACAAACTTCTTTCTCGTACTTTTAGTCATATTTAGTAAACAAATGTTCATGAGAGGGGCAGGATCTGGAAATGAGTTGAGAGCCTTTTCTAATTCAGTTTCTGGTGCATTTCTTTGTTGCAGTGTGACGAAGAATTACTTTGAGAATTTGGTTAGAGCGCTTGAGAATGGGCTAGCAGATGTGGACTCCCAGGCTGTTGCAGCTTGCAGTAAGACAACAAGCTCGAAAAATTTGGGAGGGACTAGCAAGGGGCGAGGGGGCAGGGGAAAAGGGAGTTCTAAAACTGGTGGCTCCAGCAGAAATGTAGATGATACAAGTAATTAGTCTTGTGGATGCCGTGCCTTGGTAGTTTCTGGGTTTTTGGTGGGTGAATATACAAGTCCTTCACTACTTAGGGGAGCCTATCTTATTTTTGGATTGCGTCTTTTGCTGTATATATGACATATATAAATGTATATTACATATAGTATGCTTCCTATCAAATATAACCTGCCGACTTGCCTTGCTTACTGATTATGGCATATTATTATTCCTATATATTAAATATGCTTTTGAATGCAAATATGGCCGAAAGGTAAAGAAGTCAGTGTAGAGCTTGTATCTTGTCCTTTTGTGTCTCTCTTATTGGCTCTGTTGATAAGACCGTGGAGAGTCAGACTGTGGGTTCAAAACTGTGAATTTAATCTTTTTAAAATAGAAGATTTGGTCTAACGAGATATGGTAAGAATTGCAAATTTTACAATATAGAAAAAGAAGGGTTGTCTAATTTGATCTTTTTGCCTTTTAAGACTTCACTTTAAGCTTGTGATATCACAAAATTTGAGGATCCAAATCAAGTGCATCATGACCAGTCGTTTTAGATTCAAAAAAAGTTGCCCTCAAACATATTTGTCAATGGGAAAGATTCAGTACTTGGCTTCGTTCAACAATATGAGTACCAAAACAAGACCTTCCTTCATTAACATATGGAGCTTGTAATCTTATGTATATCGTAGGGGAGCAACTCTATAACTATGCAGACAGACAAATATCCTTTCTATTTAAAAAAAACCTTAACATGCATTGGACTTCCCATTGCAATATATATATATATATATATATATATATATCATCTTTCTGTTTGTGGGAAGAAAAAATTTGTAGTAAGCTCTCAAATTGAGTTACCATATATGTATAGCTGGCAAAAAATGTTCATCTTAGTTGCCCAGATTGTTTTAATATTTTGATGCTCACTGCATTTAGCAATGCTCTAGAATATTGACGAGACGCCATTTTCCAGTCCATGCCTGTCAGCATCATTGCCTTAAACTCTTCATAACTGATTCGACCATCCTACAATATCAAATCAATGCAACAAAACGGAATTAGTTATAATTCACCGACGATATTATACCAAAGTTGTTGGTTTTAAAGGATTTTTTTTTACCTTATCCAAGTCGACATCGTGCATGATGTCTCTGATCACCTGTTCATTGTTGGGACCAAGGTCGTCATGCAACAAGGCTTCTTGCAACTCTTCAAATTCGATATAACCGCTTTGGTTCTTGTCGAAGTGATGGAAAGCTTGAAAGAGATGCTCGTCGTTGCTCATCCTTTTCAGGTGAACGGCCATTGTCACAAACTCCTCGCAGCTAAGCGTACCATTTCCATCAATGTCCGCCTTTTGGATAACACAGCACAGAACAAATTTCGGATAATTAGAAAAAGTTTCAAAACCCTTGCAAGAAGTGAGTTAATTCCTAAGTGATTTGAACTTAATTACCGCATCCATCAACATCTGCACATCAGGGTCAGCAACACAATGTCCAATCTTTTGAAGGCCATCTCTCAGCTCCTCGAATGACAAGTGTCCATTCTCGTCAGTGTCCATCATGCGGAACATCTGTACAATTGCATCGGTTTGCTCATTTGGCAAGTTGCCCGCTACCACCTGGAAATGAAGAGACATGAGCACCTCTCATGAGGGCCTGAATTAAGCCACAGCCACATTGAACACAGGAAAGCAAAGAGAAGAGGTTTCAAATTAAGACTTACCCTAAGAACTTTCTTCTTGAACTTGCTCATAAAGGAAAACTGCTTGATCCTTGTTCTCACATTTTCTCCCAGATTAACATTTGGAGCGTGTTCCAAGTTTTGTATCCAAGGATGTTCTTCATTTAACACACACAAAAATTATTAGTGAGGAGAGATTGGTCCTCATCACATGCATGCTTTTTTGTTTCCAATACATGTGAATGCAGGAGAGGGAAAATTAATGCATTTTATAAAAGGAAACAGCAGGTATAACTCTAGGAAATTAACTTGTCCATTTCAAATGCTGCAATGGGGTTATCGTTTATCAAGTCACATTCAAGAATTGCTACCTTTCGTCTAAGTTGAATGAGTTAAGAACAATTCTCTATGTTAGCTGTTGATTATATGCGGCTTCTCTGCTACATTTGTGTACACACACAAAAATGGAAAATGTATTTTCAACGGGTAATAGGAGTGATCATTTGTAGTCGAATATGTCAATAGAAATACATACCAAAGACCTCCTGAACCGTCATCCGACTGTATGGATTAGGATCAAGCATGCTCCTCACAAGATCCTTTGCTTCTTCAGAAACCTTTGGCCAAGGATCTCTTTCAAAGTCTATGTTACCTTTTATAATTGCATGTGCAATTCCTTCCTCAGTGTCTGTCCTAGTCATAGCAAAGACCTCCCGTTAGAAGGCATCAAACACATACTTTTGGCATTTGAGGAACATTGAAACCAAACTGCAAAGTGGGAAAGGGAGTAACCTGCCCAGAAAGGAGGAACGCCACAAAGCAAGATGTACAGGATAACACCTATACTCCATATATCAACTTCCTTACCATAATTTCGTCTCAGGACCTCTGGAGCCATGTAATAAGGACTTCCAACAATGTCACTGAAACGCTGACCTGCAATCGATGATAAAGAGAAAGCTCAGGCCATGTCTACAACAACTAACTAGGCTTTTTCTCACCAGGTGAAGAATCATTCAAGAACAGGTGGAAGATTTGTATAACTAAAAGCTTACCAGGTTCGTAGAATATGGAGAGGCCAAAATCAATTGCTTTTATTGGTGCAGTTTCACTTTCATCTGCCAACAAGAAATTCTCAGGTTTTAAATCCCTATGTATCACTCCATGTTCATGGCAGACCTGCAACAAATATTAAATAGATTTGAAAAACTGTCGATGTATGAAGCAACAAGTTATCATCATCAGTAGAGTAAAAGAATAAAGATGAATGTACATTGTAAAACAAACGCCATGTTTGTCCAATAAAAACACACACAATTTGAAGGTATTATAGCTTACATTATGAATCAGCAGGAAAAGATATATAACATCTTAATTTGATGTTTAATTAATAATAATGATAATAATTACCTTGACAATCTCCAAAATGGTCTTGATAGCGGTGGCAGCAGCTCGTTCCGTATAATGACCTTTAGCAACGATCCTATCAAAAAGTTCACCTCCATGGCAAAGCTCCATAACAAGATAGACAGCTTCTTTATCCTCGAAGGCTTCCCTAAAGGTAACAATATTGGAATGCTTAGGCAAATGCCTCATGATCTCAACCTCCCTCCTCACATCTTCCACGTCGATCTCCGACCTCAGCTTTGCCTTGGATATCTTCTTACACGCGTAAGCTTCCCCGGTTACCAGGTCGAAGCATTGATGCGTGACCCCAAACTCACCCCTCCCTAACTCTTTTCCCAACTCGTATCGCTCCAAGATGTTGTCCCCGGACGAATCCTTCAAAACGTTACCGTTCGTCACGCGTAGGTTCATCGATTTACGTGCCGCCTCGTGGTCGAAACTCGCATGCAGCTTGCGTTTCGTTTTGGAGGTGTTGTAATAAGATTTCTTGGATACTACACCTACTAGCCTCGACGGTGTCGATATGCAGCTCCCCATGGGATGGCGCCGGCGACGAGGACGAAAACTACGTTTTGGGTTGATCGGGGCTGATTTGGTTTGACGTTTCAAATCATAAACATCCCGTGGGAAGAAAGATTGATTCTTGAGGGCGCGGTGGTGGCCAGGGAAATGAGAATGTAAACCCTAGCAAAGGAAAAAGACAATGGCGACTAAATTTGGTTTATTGCAGGAAGTTGGGAGGAGTTTTGAGAAACAACGTTATTGGTTTGTCCCGCCATTTTCTTAGGACAGTTAAATTCCGTTATCGTTAACGTTAACGCCATTGATTTTGGTCATAAATACCAGCCAATTTTTGGGCTCTTTAGAACAAGAGCCACTCAAAACTAGGGATTCTTTTTTTTTCCCCTCAAATTTCCTTTTCTATATATATAAAACTTAATTTATTAAAAGGGTAATGAAATAACTCTCATGAAAATGAATAAATAAATGGGTTGATAAATTAAGATCATCAAGGAATATATATAATTTAATTTAAAAAATTGCAGATAATCACAATTAATTATCAACATTTGCAATAATCAGCAGTAAATACACATATGTAGCTGCATATGCAATAGATGGTAACAAATTTTTCTTCATTAAAAGTATACACTTACATTGAGCATTATTCAAAATTTTGGGTTAATTCCTACAAAGCATATACATCTGGAAACATTTGGGTTTTCCTTCTTAGAACTCTGATCTCTGCTGAGGAAAGAAGCTTTCATTCTCTAACATTTGACACATCAAGATCACTTGCTAAACCCATTTTGTTTGAAATGAGAGGCACTGGGAAGCAGCAGTCTTGTGGCAACCATGAAACTCCTTTGTTGCTCCATTGAGACTCCAACACGACCAGGAATAGATAGATGAAAGCAAGAAGAGAGATTGCAAAAGAGAGATACATCTCTCCTTTGAAAGAAGTACAAGCTGGAACTGATGAAACATTCATTGTTTCTTTGAGAGAGTTGGATGTATCAAAGATGAGATGAGATGAGAAGAGAAGAGGGTGTGGTGGAGTTTTTAAATAGGGAAAAGATGGTATGTATAAATCAAATTCAATGAATGATTAGTTAAGAGAGCAGAAGAAATCTCTGACAGAGAGGCTTGAAAGGTATGGGTAATGGGGAGGAGGGGGGGACTTGTTTTGTCACTGGGGGGTCAATGCATTGAATCTATTGATGCAACACCCAAGTTGGTCATGTGGGTGCTGCTTTCTTGCTCTATATAAATAATTCTTTTCCAAGTTCATGCATTGAGGGACCCATCCGGATGCATGTTCTCTGAACCTATTTTTAGGTAGTATCTCTTGTGTTGTCTTTTCTTTTTAATTGTATGATGTTTCTATGCTTTAGGACTTGGAAAATGACATGTCCATTGTCCAACCGTACATATGAATCCTGGCATGCAAATGGGTTCAACTTGAGCCACTTGAGGTCATTTCCAATTGTCTGGTCTCACCTCATGTACTGCGAACATGGGCAAACATTGAGCTAAAACCCAGCGCCATCTATTCAGCGAAAGAAACCTGTGGGCTTGATTTAAAAAAAAAAACGGTTTCTGTATTCATATATTATAAAATTTAATTTCATATTTAAAATTAAAATATATAATTTTTAATTTAAAAAATTAATTTATTTTTTTTAATTTTATATTAAAAAAATAATATTAATTTTGAATGCATATCTACATGATGAGTGATATACATATGATTTAAAGTGATAATGTAGAATGTCATATATTAATATGATGACGTGATAATATTGACGTACATTGATATGTTGATATGTCAATGTGTATAGGATAAATTAAAAAAAAAAATATATGTATTAGAGAAAAATTGAAAAAAATATATAATATAATACTAAATTGAATAAAATTAAAATATTAAAAAATTAAATTAAAAAAATATTTAAAAAATATAAATATTTAAATAGATGATAGATATATTTATTAATAAGTCAAATATTTAAGTGTAAAAGATTTATGATGTTCAAAAATATATACAAATATTTTTTTACTTAATTATTTGATTCTAGAATACAAAAATTAATTTGAATTCTCCTTCTATAAAAAAAATTAAAAAAATTTCATACCTAAAATCAAATTCAGATGAATAACTTACATTTTATTGAAATAAAATAATATAAAAAACTAAATAAATTTTTCTTCTTCTATTTATAATAGTGTAAAAATTTAAAATTTATTTGATGTAATTTTTAACTTGAGTTGAATTCAAATCAATAAAATAGTTAATTTAGTTACAACTTTAACAATTTACAAATATCCAGTTGTTTGAAATTATTCAACCTTACCCAATTTACTTTTATTTGAATTTATTAAATATCTTTATAAAATGATTTTATTTAAGTTCAAATACCACAATTAATTTTTATTAAATTTAAATTTAAAATTATTAATTTGGATTACAAAAAATTTGTAAATACAAAATAAAATGATACAAATATTTACAATTATATTTAACTCTATCAACCATAAATGCACTTTTAATTTAAAAATTTCAACGTAAAAAATATAATTTAAAATATTAAACAAAATAAAAACATAAAAAATAAATAAAAAATTGAAGGGGCAAAACAGCTTAGATTCTATATTGTAATAAGAAGTTTGTCAAGCCCAAATTAATAAAGTTAGAATGAAAAATATTTTTATAATCAATGCTAACTCTATATCTCCCTTTTTATTTTTTTAAAATTAAATTAACTTATTTTGGTAATTAGTTCAACTCAAATTAAAAACTAAATTAAATAAATTTTAAATTTTTAACTATTATAAAATAAAAAATTATTTAATTTTTATATTATTTTATTTCACATAATGCAAGTATTCATTTAAATTTGATTTTAGTTATGAAATTTTTTTTTTGAAATTTTTTTTATAGAAAGAGAATTTAAACTTAATTTTTGTAAAAAAAGATAAATTAATGTATATATTTCACAATTAAATGATCAAGTAAAAAAATATTTATATATATTTTAACATCATAAATATTTTACACTTATTTGTTTTATTAGTAAGTATAGCTATTATTTATTTAAATATTTTTAATTTAATCTCTGAATAATTTAATTTTGTTTAATTTAATCTGTATATTATATATTTTGTTCAATTTAATCACTATGACATAATATAAAAAAAATTAAAATTTTTTATTCACCGTGTGGCACTTGACACTTTAATATTACTATATCATTATATTAGTGTCACATGTCATTATCACGTCATCATGTTGGTGTAATGTGACATGTCATATCATGTGAATGTTACATTAAAAAATATATCACATTAATATTGATGTCAACATTGACGTTATATCTTTTAACAATAAAATTGAATTCCATTAAAAAGAAAATTAAAATTAAAATAATTTTTAAAATTAAGATATTAAATTATTTTAATTTTAAATATAAAAACTAAGTTACATAAAATATATAAATACAAAAACTAAATAGGTATTTTAACCATTCTTATGATTCTAAGGAAGATTGCAGCTCTAGGCTCTAGCTTTGAACTGAAAAGGTCAGACTAGGAGGAGAATGACACAGATTTTCCTTAATAAATTAAAATATCCAGCAGCAAAAACCAAAGTAAAAAGTGACAATCATCCGAAGATTGGAAAAATTGAAACAATATAAAATAGAAAATTATTATTTTTTTCTTAGGTGTCTAGTTGAAATCACAAACTAGCTTATGCCCATAAATCCTATGGAGAGACAAAAATGGAAGACAAGTAGAAAACATCACTCTCTCTCTCTCTCACCAACCCACCCACCATTCCCTTTTCTGGCAGGGACACCAATTCTAATCCTCGGATTTATAAGTTAAATAGAATCAGGAATAGTCTAGGAGAGCAGCCTGTTGACTGCAGTTGGTTATCATCCAGATACAGTGAACTAGGAGGACCGGACTTGATCTAAACCTGAATCATTTGAGTTTTGTTTTCAACCATAGATTAAAGAGTTGTTCATTGGAGGTTATTTTGGGAGCCAATCCCAATCCACCAACGCCCCACTCTCCTCCCATTTCATGTTTAATCTAGTCATAAATCCACAATGCCATTGGAGGAGAATGCCAAGTCTGCATTCCCTTCAAGGCAGAGAAAATGGAAAGAATAGGTAGCTTTTCGATAGTTCCTACTACCCATGTATGCAGCAGCCTCTCTCATGCTTGACTTGATCTTGCACTGGAGAATCAGATCTATCAATAAATCTCAACCAATCCAAGTCATTGGGCATCTCCAAATGCCTACCATAAATCACTTTGGGCTGAGGGCGGGGGGTTGTGGTTTGTGGAATTTTCATTCAAATCATCAAATGCATAATCATCTAGTATGCAACCAAACTGAGGAACAAGATGTCCCACCACTCACATGTTCTTTCAATTTCCAACACAGTAATGCAGGAAAGGTAGGCTAACTACAATAACTAAAAAATCTTCTTCTACAGTTTCCTCCACGGTCAGGAACATTCACTCCTCAACAAGTAAATACTCAACCAGGACATAGAAAGACAAAATAAGCAACCTCTACTGTGTGGACTAATAACTTATTAATCATTACCAGTTTATCAAAGCAAAATATTTTTAAAAACAGATAAGAATTCAAGCAGATATATTATGTTGCATTTGACTCTGGTCTTATATTCCATAAGAAACAGCTCTCATACAAATCCCAGCTTTCTATGAGTAAAACATATGATTTATAATCGTATGAGCATGAGTGCATGCATGTCATGTCGATGTGTATTTTGGGTCTGGGCATCTCTTCTGTGCACAAAACAATTAAGACAATTTCCTATAGTCAAATTGAATTCCAAATTTTGACAGTGGTGAAAATAGGTGAAGCATTTATGTGAGGAAGACACTCAGATGAGTAAGGCAAACATCAAATCCAACCACATAACCACCTGCAGCAGAAAGCTGGGCAGTCAAGGGCACAGGATCTGCCACATTATTTCCTCATGGTCTTCCATTCAACCAATTGATAGAGAAGTAAAAGTTTGTTCATGGCAAAAGCAATGTTAAACAAACTGTATGTAGCAATAATACCACTATTTATATTCAAGAAAATATCATATTTTCTGTAGCTTAAGAAGTACAAGACACAAAATGTAATCAAGAATCATGATAAGTAAGCATAAAACAAAATGCTCTAATTTAATGAGCACAAAATGCAAAAAGAATCACTTCCCTTTCGTTTTTGAGGGTATAAAAATTGCTTTTTAAGTTATACCGTGAAACAACATATGCACATTGACTCAAGTCCAACATGATGAGTCTTTACAAATAAAGCATAGATCCATGTACAGCCAACTGAAATTAGAGCCATTGTGCATTCAACCATCAATCAACAAAAGTCTTTCCAACTCCATTCTGATAATTACTCCTTCAGTTTGATCATGAAATTAGATACTCGATTAATAAAATGCTAGGTCTCATTTAATACTGGAGTAGTCGTACCAGGTCACAGGGGAAAAGGGAACTCTGTCAACATGGCCTGTGGGACTACCTGAGATGCAGGCATGGCTGCTTGTGAATTTTAATGAATTTTCAAGCAGGCCTGAGAATAGAAACCAAGGGGGGATGAAAGGCTAAGAAATATTAAAAAAATACAAATCAAATTAAAAGACAGCTATGGTAACCTTTTTCCTGCCACAGGTATGAAAAACATTATAGATCGGATCTACGTGATGGCAAGTATCATGTTAGATCTGACAGTTTTGCGTCAACATAGGACAAGCTATCACATAAACTCTCCTGTACAATACATTTTCCCCATTCAGATACACATAATCATGGGAGGTAAACTGGAAGTCCAACCCTGTTGACATCAAGACAGAAAAAGCATACATTATTTCCCTTACCTAAGGATTTAACAGTCACAATTCTAGTTCAAACTAGTACCTGCAACGTGGACCACAGATGAAAGATATGAGACTACATATCTAGTACAGTCATAGTAGAGCTACAAACCTCACTTACCAATGCACTGCATTCTGGACATAGAATAGGAAGTGAACACAGAGTGGCACAACAAGATGGGAGGGTCAAGTTGTCTCCTTTTAGTGGCAATGCAACATCGCTAGTGATGATGAAGGCATTTTGTTCATATTGTCAAAGCTGAGGATGGGATTGATAATGGTAGCAGAGGTAAAGCTTGTTGTCGTGACAGTGGTTGATTTGGATGACAAACTGCTCTACATACTTCAGTGGCTGAAAAAGCACCTCTTTTACATACTGGGTTACCTGTAAATTACATGTGAGCTCTAGCAACACCCATGAGAGGGCAATAAGCATGGTTCTCACATTCCAATAAGAGCCTCACCATCAACAGCATCATCTTTTAGCCTCACCCAAAAAGCTGGTCAAATGAGAATTTCAAGCTACGCAACCATCCTCCCAGTTAACACATTCTTCGCTTTTGTCTTCACCATGCCATTATCTACAACGCATCATACTCACACGTGACCAATGGCATGGAAAACCTCAAGAACCACCGCTGGTCCCATCAACAAAGCCACAAGCCTTAAATAATAACTATTGCCGCAGAAGAGACCAATGGAGGAGAAAGATGAAAAGCTTCTCTAGTGGTTTTATCTATAACATGCAGAAGAAAGGGAGTCATTCATTTTCTATAACAACCTAGCTCTTCCATCTCCTTCACAATTGTCCACAATGTAACTCTAATCTCTTCTGAATCCTTATGAGATTGATCACCTGCGAGAAACAAATGAACTTTGTCCTTCACTATCACCCAACTACACCCAGGGCTCTTCTTTATTCCTTTTGATTTCTTGTCCATTCTTACTTGGTCTCCATCTTTCTTCTTTCCCAGGATAGAATATAAATTGGACAAAACAACATAAGAAGTTGCATTATCAGGGTCCAATTTTTTAAGCTGCTGGGCTGCAAGCTTTGCCAGATCAACACGGAGGTGAGTTCTGCTTGCACCCAGGAGAGCTCCCCAAACTCCAGTATGGGGCTCAAAAGGCATTGAATAAATTAAATCAACTGCTTCATCAAACAATCCAGCTCGGCCAAGGAGATCAACCATGCATGCATAGTGATCAGGCGTTGGTTCCATATTATATAAGGATTTCATGGATTTAAAGTATTCCCATCCTACTTCTACAAGTCCAACATGGGTGCAGGCAGACAAAACAGCAAGAAAGGTTATCTGATTTGGCTCCGGGCCTTCACTCTGCATTTTCCTAAATAATTTAAGAGCTTCTTCACTAAAGCCATTTTGAGCAAAGCCAGTAATCATTGAATTAAAAGAAATGATATTTGGTTCTTTAATACTCATAAAGACCTGACAGGCATCAGATACATTTCCACATTTTGAATACATCGAGACAAGTGAATTTTGAATTGAAAGATCAAATTCTAGATACATCTTTATTGCTTGTCCGTGGATCTGCTGCCCTTGGGTTAGTATTGCCAAATTGGCTGAAGCACTCAATAAACTGCTCAAAGTAAGAGAATTTGGCTTTACTGATTTCTGAAGCATCTCAGTAAACCAGCAAAAAGCCTCTTCGTACATCTCATTACTCACAAACCCTGAAATTACTGCAGTCCAAGCAACATTGTCTTTTTCAGGCATGATCCTAAATAACTCAACAGATTTATCAGTTTGTCCTTTGCTAGAAAACCCCATAATCATGGTAGTCCAGGAAACTACATCCCTTTTAGGCATCTTCTCAAAAAGATCATAAGCTTCCTCAATTTCATTCTCTTGAACATAACCCATGATCAAAGAATTCCAAGAAACCAAATCTTTCTTCCTCATCATATTAAATACCAAATTAGCAGCATAAATACAACCAAATCTACAATACATAGTAATAATAGAATTCCCTAAAAAAACATCAAATTCAAATCCAAACCGCAAAACCAGCCCCTGCATTTGAATTCCTTCTCTATATCTATTAAAATTTCCACAAGCTTCAACCATAATACTCAACGTAGTAGAATTAACCAAAACTCCACTTTCCTTTCTCATACTTGAAAATAAACCAAAACCATCAATTAAATTTCCCATTTTCATGTACCCATTGATCATTGTTGTCCAAGTAACCACATTTCTCTCCACCATCTTATCAAACAACTTTCTAGCTTCCACAAGTCTCCCACTTTTGCAATACCCATCAACCATTAAGCTCCAAGAAACAACATCCCTCTCAATCATGCCTTCGGAAATGCCAACGGCCTCATCTAATCTCCCAAATTTCAAATACCCATTAATCAATACATTTGAACAAACCGGTTCCCGCCATTTCCCAGGGGTATTTTCGTAAATTTCCAAAGCCTTGTCAAACCTTCCCTTATTAACAAACCCCGTGATCATCGCGCCATAACTCACAGCATTCCGCTCAGACATGTTGCAGAAAAGCTTATAGGCTTCATCTACCATACAACCATTCTTATTATAAGCCGTAATCATCGCATTATACGAAGAAGTTGTTCTTTCCGGCATTTCATCGAATACTTCACGGGCTTTTGAAATTTTCCCATTATCGGCATACGCTGTCAACATGGCAGTCCAAGACACGGTGCTTTTGAAAGGCATGCGATTAAAGATTGACTCGGCTGCTTCGATATTACCATTTCTACCATTTTGAGTGATCTGGGTATTGCAGTAAACAAGGAATTTCGAAGCTTTGTTGCGGGTTTTGGCAGAGTCGATGAAGGACCTGCTCTTTGTTGCTGTGTGGAGTGAAACTGTTGTAGTTTTGAGAGGAAAAAAGAAGCGGTTATAGAAAATTGAAGAAGTTGGTTTTGTTTGCCTTTGCATTGCCAAGAAATAGAACCCATGATTCACCATGATATGATAGGCCTGGCTCTTAAATTTGTTCAAGCAAGGAAAAGTTGAAACATGAACACCTCATATTTATTCGCTCCCCCTACCAATAGTTTTTTGAAAATTAATTATCTATAACTAATATCAAACTAAACTGATAACATTATTTGATTTATTTATATCATTAGATTACAATTACTTAAATCTATAAATTCCAAATTTCCATCATTGAAATTGTTCATATATATATAAACAATTAACATGCATAGAATAAAATAAATGAATTTTAACTTAATTCCTGCATTTCTCCTTTTCTTAAAAAAAAATAATAAAACACAAACGTTAAATTGATTAAAATATTAGTTTATAATTCAATTTCATGATGGCAAACAAATGAAATGAGCCAACTTATCAAATTGAGATCAATCCTAAAATGTAATTGAATTATAAACCATTTAATAGTCTTTTTAAATTAATCTAAAATCGTTTAAAATTATTAATTGTATTCAATTAAGATCAATCATAAATTATAGTAGGATTACAAATCACTTTTTAATTTTTAAAATTAATCTAAATTTATAAAAAACCATGAAATGTAAACTGATTTATGAATGATTATTTAACTATAATTTATTTATATAAGTATAATGGCTTTACTCCTTTTTTTGATTGGGCCACAAGTTTGGTAACGAAAAGTTTCCAAAAGAAGGAAGGCGCTAAAACCACTAGTTTGCCATGCAACGACCCCCCAAGCAAGCCAATTTCTACATTAGGCAATTAAAGCCAATTGACTGTTCTTACCATATTTTTTTTAATCTCTTAGCATTGATTTTCACCATTTATTATTTATTTGCCATCTAAAAGGCCATTCTACTTCTCATGCAGAGTCTAATCTTTGATTTCATGTCGGCTTCTAATACTTTAAGGGTTTTTCCCCCTCATCTATCAGTGCCTCAATAACAACAGGTAATCCCTATTTCTTTTTTCTAGTTTTCTGGCACTTTCGTTTAATTTAATTAATTAAATATGTTAGTACTGTGTGCTATATGAAGAAAGCCTAGGCAAAAATATCAGAGAATTGGGCTTTGCTTGATTTGTTAGGGGCAGGGTTTAGCTTAATTCAGCCATTGTCTCTTTGATATGTGCTGGAATGCACATTGGTTATGTCTTTACTTGCATGAACTCTCTTTTTCTTGTAATAGTAGGAACCTTCCCTTGCTGACCTATTCTAGCTTTCCATGATTTCTATATGGTTCTGGTCTTTGCTCTCTTAAATGCTTGAATTTTTCATTTTAGACATTCCTTGCATTTTTGACTCATTCTACCATACAACTATAATGACTATTCTATTCAATTCTAAACATCGATGTCAAAGGATAAATAAAGTCTATAATCTCCCTTATCTTTTAATTTTGTTAAGATTTCAATGTCAGATGACTATTACTTGTGAGACTTATTGCTAATTCTTTGTTTGTCATGCTTTAATCTTGTTTAATCTTCTTGGAATACTTCCATGGTTGCCGGTCACAGCAGGCTTCTTGGGACTTACCTCATTAGTACTATTAATATTACAATTTTTGTTTTTTGATAGTTACAGTTTTCCTTTCTAAAATATATAGTTTTTGCTCCTGCTTAAATCAACTGGTTAACCCAATGTAAGAGTGTACCATTATTAATTAATGGAAAATCTGACAGGATGGGACTCAGAGGAAGAGATAATAGCTCTTCTGATATTGCGAAGAGGGTCACTACTACTTCGCCCTCAATGGAGAAGAAGCATGTGGTTGTTCAAAGAGAAGAAGCTGAGCTTCCTAGACCAATATCAGTTTGTTCTCAAACTGAATCCATTGGATCACAAATTAAAAGAATGGGTCCTATCCGTACAGCCAGGAAGAAGGTTGTTTCTCTTTCTCCTCAGCTGTCAATAGAAGATGATGTTGATTTTGTCAAACAACTTGGTAAGGGAAGATTTTCATCTGCTGCTGATGACTCCATGTGGTTGTCTTCAGGTTGTATATCCCCTTCATCGTTTTTTGAAGAGCATGAATCATCGAGTCCCTTTCATCTTGTAGCTGATGAATGCCTAGTTTCATGGCTCTCAACATTAGCAGATTCATATGTTTCTTTGAGTAAAGGAGCCTCTCTTTCTATAAGCTCTAAGACAAAACCTGAAGAAGATAAATCATTTGCTCTTGCTAAAGTAGTATCAGGAAAAATAGTTAGGGAAGGTTTGGAGGATGAAGGGGAGATTACTTGGCAATGGCACTCACGAGGAAATTATGGAACCGGTCCTCCTGCAGATAGTGCTGAAAGAATCAAGTCTTCTTGTGGGCAATGCAGCGATGAATCCATGAGTGATGGCAATTGTCTCACATCTCTCAGCACCAATCTTGACTCTTCTTCTCAGGTATCAGATATGAACAAAACAAGTTTCATGGTCTCTCTATTGAATCTTGATGAGGATGGCTCCCAGTGGATATCAAATACAGAGTTGGAGTTGGATTATTTCCAGTCATGTTTCCCTAGTCCATCTTGCTCGAGCTTTGTGGATTCTGAAGCTAAATCTAGCACCTCTACTACCATTAACAGGAAAGATGAAATAACAGAACCTAATCTGTCCTTAGATCAGACTTCTGAAGCAGCAAATGTGGAAGATTTCAGTGCTGATGAGCCCCTTTTCTGGCCATTTGATAGGAAAATTGATTGGAATTCTGAGGAAACTTGGGAGTACTTCTCCATGTCTCCTCGGAAGGAAATAATAAAGGTTACAGCTTCTGAGGGGACCTCTCCTAGATCCATCCACTCTGAGCTGAACAATAGGAATATGTATCCTCCAAACAGGTGTAGGAGAAAATTGGTATTAAAGCCAGGGTCAACAGCATCAAAAATATTAGAACTGAAACGAGGAAACAAAACCTGGGACAGCAGCAGCAGCAGCGGAAGAGTCAAAAGGGGGAACACTATGCCATCAAGGTTGAGAGAATCAACCAAGGAGTCTGCAAAAATAGTGCCCTTAGACATTGATAATCAAATTCTGCCATTAAAAGTTGGAGAAGTTCCCACCACAAAATCAATTTTAACAAGCAGAAACTTTTGGGAGGATGAGTTTACATCAAATGAAGAACTTTCAATTGAGACAGTACTAGGCCTCGGCGAGTTTGATGGGCACGAGGGCATGGATTCGGAATTCAATGAAGGTGTTTTCTTCCTTGACGAGGCTATATGAGTACTTGTACACTATTAGTTTTCTGATTAAAAGATGTAGGAATCAAGCCATATATAGATTCCAAGGAAAAGACATTCACTAGAGTTTTCACTTCTTAGGAACGTTTATGTCAGCATACAGATTTTATTTTTCTACATTAGATAAAGCTGCATAATGAAGTAGAAGCAGAATAATTTTAGATGGAACATAATGTCAAATTAACGGGATATCAGTGTTTCTCTTGTTATTGAAACATGGAGTCAAATATTAGGTAAGAGTAGTTTTGTTTTCATTTATTCTTCAACCTGGAAACAGAATCTTAGCAGCTTGTTTTCTGGTTTTGCACAAAACTTCAACTCTGTGCCAGCACTTATAAAGTCCCAAATCCAATTTGCAATTCCAAGGTTGAACAATGGGTTCAGTAGAAAGTTATAGTCTCTGCTTTTATTATATGAGCTAGAATTTCCTGTCATGAAACTTTAACATTTATAACATATTCTCCAGATTCTGCTGTTCATAGAGGGCTCTGTAAGGGTGCACCATGTATATGTAGTCAGGTAGTATGTCTTTCCCAACTGCCTTTCACAGCCTTGTATGACGAATAATCCCCAATTGCTATCAACAATTCATCATTGTTTATACATATACAAACTCTAATCATATACAGTGAACCTGTGCACACATGTTGCTGATAAAATTTCAGAACCTTGTCAATCCTTTTACATTAGGCCATGGGATCTTTTTTATGTCATTACATCTTTCATTACCCTGACATGAGAAGTGTCTGTATTCTCATGACGATAACCAACATGTTGGCAGACGAAAATGACTAGAGTGCCCATCAATTGTACCAAAAAGAGAAGTATTGATGACACGATTGAAAGCATACCTCGACCACATAAGGATAAAAAAGAAAGGTGTTGCCGTGAAAACTGAGTGGCGTGGCATGGAATGCTTTAAAAAGGGCCAAGAAGGAGAAAACATCAAGTAAAACCAAAGAGAAAAGTAGGAGAAACTAGTCTGAGAAGTATTGGAAGAGTTCCGCCGCCAGAGCTCTTAGATCTCAGGCAAGGTGCATTTGTTTATTTCCTCCCTCATGTTTTCTTCAAATTTATTTATTTTTTTTGTGTTTCTTCTAAAATGAGTTATGAAACTCCATGAATTGTGAACTTAATTTGTTCAAAAATTTTTAAATTGAAATTGAATGACACCATCTTAAAGGAAGATTATTGGTTTTTGGGGGGTTTTTTTTTTTTTGACACTTTTATTGTTGAGGTTTATGATTATGGCTCCTGTACAATTTAGCTTTGGATTAAAATAATTTTTTTTAATTTCAAAATGATATTTCCACTCTGTTTTGTTGGTAAATACTAAAATTATACTAGTACCCTTCTATATCAAAAAGGAAGATGCCCTTGACAACCTGAAAGTCTTTGATTCTTTTCTCTTTTATTCCAAAAATAATAATAATAATAATAATTAGTCACTACCTCGAAATTTTTTTCCTAAGATTAGCTAAGGTGATAGCTGGGATCATCTATTGCAAGGTTATTTATTATCAATTGACCCAAAAAATATATTTGATAATTTAAAAATGACTGACAAATTTAATATTGAGTGTAGGCCAATTAGAATTGCTGTTGGGCAAGTAAGACTTTGAATCTCTTTGCAACTACATTAATTTGACAATGACAATAATATTTTGTGTAGATTGAATGAATATGAATAGTTTTTGTTCATTACAATGTTCTTGGTTTAAACTAATGATGTATCCATATTTCTTTTTACAATTTATTTGTTGGATTCAATTTACCATTCCATGGAGAAGACATTTGCAAGAGTTTCGAAGCATGGCAGATA